CAGAAACTGGGAGACCGCATAAAGATTACTTTCGTTATTTCATTTGCTGCTTCCCCCATTTCCCTTCATCAGAACCGCTATGACGAAAGGGTGAAATTTCCCCGATTATCCCCTTTCCAAAAAACTCTTTGTTGAGACTGTTATTTGTGAGACAAGGAATCTTATTATAAATGTCAACTTGCTTTTTTACTTAACAATATAATCGATAAAAATTCGCACATGTATAGGTTAAGTACGAATTACGAAAGACTTAAAAGAAATTTAGAAATCTATAAAAGGTAAGGAAAATTTGTATGTCACTTTATTAGAGATAATGGGAAGCACTAAATTTTCAATCAACGTTATTTCATAATGCTAGAGTATACCTTTATTCATTTAGAAATGCCCACCAGCGGTCGAGCGGTAAATCGCTGAACACGGTAGTTTTTCCGACCTGAGTTCGATCTCAGGCAAACGGGCTGGTTCATAAGTTTCGTGGTTTTTTTTTCCCGTACCAGCTTACTCCAGCTTTACCACGTACCATACGAGCCAGCTTTCCTAGAAAGTCTCTACGAAGGCATTTTTCCTCTTAGGCACATAGCCCATTGTGTTTTGTCATAATCAACTAAACCAAATCATTTAAGAAATATATCAGTTGATCACTGCTCAGTGTACATCTGCTGTTTTTGCTATAAAAACACTTTGTAAAGACATTTCCACTATTTTGCTAATATTCTGGAAGGCTCATAGAATCCGAAAAATAGGTTACACTAGCTACAGAGAATTAAGTCTGCTTATACAACAAAAATCTGCTTGACTGCTTTCGTGTCTTGGGAACGTAAGTATATGCAGAAATAATATTAAAATCTATCACGTATATTTGTAAAGATGTAAAGCATACTGTTTTGGTTCACGATACGATAAATATGCACCATGTTACGACAGTTTTAAAAGATCACAAATAACTATACATAGGCTAGACTTCTAACAAAATTTCTGTTACAATATGAATATCATTTATTATTATATAGTCGTAAAACGGCTCACCAGCGGCCGAGCGGTAAAGTCGGTTAAAAACACGGTATTTCGGTCCGAGCTCAAATCCCGCAAACGGTCCGGCTACATGGTGTTTTCGTGCTTTCTTCCCCATGTGTAACGTGTATACGAGCAGTTTCCTTTAGAACGTCCTCACGAAGGCACCCTCCCTTAGGCAGATAGCCATAGTGTGCTTTGCCATAATTAAATACACACATGAGTCGTAAATTCAGTATTTTCATTTTTAGATTCTAGGTATGACAAAATTTTTTTTTTTTTTTAAATTTTCGTTTTGTTTTTTAAATATCAATTCACTTTATAGCTTTTCTTCAATTTTATAAAGGGATATCAGTTTAAATTTGATTTATATATAATATGATATAATTCAACATTAATTAATAATATTTTATGTATAAACAAAAATTATTATTAATGTTCCAAATTTTATTTTTTTTAATGATTTGTCTTACATTTTTGTATTTGTTGAATGCATAGCTAAATATTTCAATTATACACAAAATTATGCAGAAAATATTCATCTGGCATGACAGCTATTGCGAAAGAAAAATTAGAGTCTTATTGCCTTAACTCTTAGTAAAGCAGCCATTTTTAAATGACGTTAAAATTAATTTATTCTGTGGTCTATTAGAAAAACTATACTGAACATTTATTGACGACTTCTAAGAGGCGCTTTCTGAAAGAACCTGTATTTTGAGAACATAAAACGTTGATATTGAACATCACTTTTTTAAGATGCCAGAGCAATGCCAGAGCTTCAAAAATCCTCTAAAGCATAGACGGCAACGTTTAAAAGGCTGACTACTTAATAAAGCTGTATATTAATGTTCATTATACATTTCTCACATTTACTTTCTTTCAAAACAGCGATACTGTGGTCAATTGCTTTAGAACTATGTGAAACTAATAAAATGGGCCCTATGTTAAAAACCTAATTATATTCAGATACACCCTTTGATCATGTTTGAAATCCATTATCTAATCAGAATACTTTGTCTACAGAAAACATTGCATCAATATTAGAAATCAAAAGCTAAGTGAGATTAAGTAGGAAGACCATATATCGTCTCAACACATTTAATTGAAGTAAACAGGTGCTTTACTTTATCGTAAGTGAACACCCGTTTTTCAAACAGCGAATGAAAAGAAAAAAAGAGCCCACCAGAGCTCGAGCGGTAAAAGTCGCTGAGCACTAATATTCGGTCCGGGGTTTCGATTCCCGGCTAACGGCTAGCTGCCCGGGCGTTTTCGTGGTTTTCCCCGTGTGTAACTTACAATATGAGTCAGTTCCCTTTAAAAAGCTCTACGAGGCCTCCCTCCCCGTAGGTAACTACCCCTAGTGTGCTTTGCTGTAACGAATAAACCGAAACCGAAAAAAAAAAAAGAAGACTTGGTGTGGAAGGCAGCGACGAAACGTCGTTTTAGAAGAATGGGCTAAATAACCAAATTCTTCTATACTCTGGTAAACAGTACATTATTTGCTCATCAAAGCTAAATTTAGCTAATGCTCGGCTTAGTTCTTAAATTGCAATTTTAGCCACACAGCGCCCAAACAAGGCGAGGTTGGTATTTTATTTCTTTACTTAGTTATTCATCATTATTTAAGAATTAATTAATTTTCATTTGTCTTTAAATTTTTATGAATTATAATAATATCATTTAATATCTAGTTGCTAATTATTTTGTTATTGTAATAGTTATTTGATTTTTTATTTATTTATTCATCTTCCTGATGGCCTTCCATAGAGCTCCAGCACTTCTAATTTTAAAAATTAGTCCTGACTGCAACCAATGATGCGAAAATAAAGTCAATAACTTATTTAGTGATAATTAATAAAATAAAAGCCAAAGCTTTTATTTTCGCCTTACTTGTTTTTATTAATATATATATATATATATATATATCAAGCAAAAACAGTAATAACAATTTTTAAAAAAAAACCAATTTGGTCTAGAAAACATCTTGCGCAATATGCTTCAAAATAAGTAAAAATAAAAATGTAGTAAGCTCGCCTATGTGTGTGTGTACTTTTACATTTAATTATAATTTATTTGATATATATATATACATATTTACGTTTGGTAGTATTACGATTGCAATAAAGGGAGGTGCCACTAGATGTTATAGACGGACCCATATACAAAATTTCAACGTTCTATAACTAACCGTTTTTGAGTTTATGCAAAAATGCATAGATACGTACTTACACTCACGAAAAAATCCCTTCAAGTATCACTTAGAGTCATAATCATTATCAGTAAGTATCAGCTTAGAGTAAATGGGATTACATTTAACGGAAAACTCTGATATGCGCCCTCAGTCGCCAAATTTCTCGCCAAATATTTTGGCGAGAAACTTCACGCTGCCATATTACTATTAAATTTTTTTGTCTCCATTTGACTTTAGCCTAAATGTCTCCAAAAACGCGGTTTTCGCACATGCAAAACTACGTTTGAACACACAATTTAGCTAAAATCCGAACAAAAACAAAAAATTTAGATAGCCGAAACGTAAAGTTTCTAACCCAAAAATATTTGACAAGAATACCATGTACACAGCATCCTGTTTAAACTTAAAAAAAATTCACGAATTGCACAATTTAGGCAGGAAGGATCTACGATCTACGCACTCCTCGCTTAATAAAATACATAAAACAATAAATTTCAAATAATCCATTACACAGCGTTCTGTTTCAACTTTAAAAACATCTACGAATTGTACAGTCTAGACACTAAACAACAAAATAAAAAAATAAATTTCAAACATTTAAAAAAACAACAATACGACAGAAATTCATACTAAAAAACCAATGAACATAACTTCTACAAAATTAAGAACACGGATAAAAATAATGACTACCATGAATTAATGCGTTTTCGAATAGCAGAAATATAAAATTCATACTGCCTTACATGCCGCCCGTAATCACTATCGATTACATGACAGCAAGACACCTATACAGAAAGAAAATTTATACTATGGTTCACAAAAAATAAAATCACAAATCCCTACTTCTATCATGCCACTGCCATTAAAATAATCTCCCAGACCCTCTTTCCACACTTCCAAATACGCACTACCCTCAACAGGATAGCCACAATCATATTTCCTTTTGCCGAACTTTCAATTCAACAACTAACCATTTTATCTTTCCCTCCCATCTTCTCAGACACAGAGGCGAACCAACGAGTTCCATCGAAAGATTTTTCAATGTCAACAGGGTTGCCACAGAACACGCAATCGCGCCAAAAACCAGCGCAGAACACATATCGCCACATTTGGTGAAATTAGGGCGTATATTAGAGTTGTACCCATTTAACAATAAGTTTTTTTGGAAAAAAAAAAAAAAAAGTGAGTCCTTCATTGTGTTCGTACATACAGACGTCACCCCAAAAAAATAATCACATGGATTCCGTAATCGTCAAAAAACGGATATTTCCGTTAAATATGATAACCCAAAGTTTTCTCGATACAAAATTACTACCATTTTATTTGATACAAGGAAGTAAAGAACCTATATTAATTACATATTCTTATATAAACAATACCTAAGTGCAGTATATAAAATTTCAAATCAATAAAACTCACTTAGCACGCTCAAGGAAAAAAAAAATATAAATAAATAAATAAATAATCATCTAAATTATTTTCAAATTACAAACATAAATAGCAATAGTAAAAAGCAAATACAAAATAAAACGCTTCACGCTATCAATTGTCATCTTCTTAATATCAACAACTAAACTAAATAGTATTTCAACTAAAACACATAATGTAAACAAAGTTTGCCCGATGCCCGAAAAAAATCAAATTATGAAAAATATGAGCGCATTGTGACTCAACCGTATCATTCGTATTTGACAGCAACCGCATCATTCGTTATCGCATGAAACCGCATCATTCGTCTCGAACAAACCGCATCGTACGACAGAGCGAGTAACGAACAGATGCGAGTAACGGAATGAATTTGTGAGTACCGAATCGGTACTTCGAGTCAACCGATGTACCCGTTACTCAGTAACGAATACATGCAGTTTGCTCCAGCTCTAGTGTTTATGTTTCTGAATGGCGCGTGTTTCAACCGCTTGTCCTTTTACTTGGCAAAAATGTTGTTCGCGTTCAAGTCCATTCACTTTGATGGACACTTTTTTAACTTTCTTATCTATAGGATCATTTCTGGCTGACATAGGAACTGGTAGATATAGAATTTTTTTAATGCTTTTGTGTTTGTAGACACCTTATTTACTCGAGTTATCCCTCCCCCCTCCATACTAATTTTACCGCTTGAAAACTGGAAGAGGAAAAATACGAGATGTTTAATATTTTGAAGAGACGGTTTTATTATAACATATATATATATTTCAGTAATATTCTTTTTACGTACACAAAATACTTGCACATTAGGTTTCACGTTTTTGCTGTCAATCAGAAGTATCTAAATAATATGCTGGAAAAACCCGAAGAAAAATATGGGTAATCCTAGTATACGGTGCAGCCTTGGCGCGGTTTTGAAAATTATCGCCAACACCAAAAATGATCCAAAGAACGTCTATATACTATACACTATATACTAGGTAATATATTATAATATAATATATATATTCTTTTAATGACCCGTTTACTGCTCATCGTATATGTCCCGTTTTTATGGCTCATCATAAAGTAGCCAAATCCCGTGTGCACCAGATACTAGGATTAAACCAAAATATGCAAAGGGGAGTAATACGCGAGTAAATACGGTACTTGAATTCAGTATGTATTTTGCACTGTATAAAGAAATTTAGAAACTAGCTGAAAATGTCTTAGATGTAAGTCATTATTGTTGCAGGATCATTAAGTTGCAGTTAAGTATAAGCTACACAAGCTAAGTTATTAGGGTCCCTACTTTCTTGGTGACCCCCCCCCCCCCAAATTAAAATATAGTATAACAGACTTTAAGTTTAATCCTAGTATCCGGTGTACACGGGATTTGGCTACTTTCATGTGAGCAGTAAAAAAGGGGTATAGGTTAGGTTATTTAATTACGGCAAAGCCTCGAGGGCTATCTGCCTAATGGGAGAATGCCTTCGTGGAGGGCTTTCTAAGGAAAACTGGCTTGTATACACGTTACACATGGGGAAAACACCTATGCAGCCAGCCCGTTCGCAGGATTCGAACCTCGGACCAAACTATAAAAACGGGACATATACGATGAGTAGTAAATGGGTTATTCAAAGAATATATATAGTTATACATAGTGTATAGTACATACATAGATGTTCTTTGCGTCATTTTTGGTGTTGGCGATAATTTTCAAAATCGTGCCAATATACACCGTATACTAGGATTTTACCCAGACTTATAAAGGGCCTCATATCTCAAATAGCTTAGGATCTTATCAAGTCTGAATCCGGCTCTGATTATTCGGTTCTGAGGGCCGTAAAAATCGCCAAGCTATTGTTAATGCCAGTGCTGTCAAAAATGATTGCGGCAACCCTAATACAAGAAAGGAAGTATAATGGTAAATAACTATGTAAGATTGATGTTTTAATTAAGATAAAAAGATTAATTTCATATATACCGAGTATGTGCAATTCTTAAAAATGCATCAAGCAGTGGGTGATTCTGCACTTTACCTAAAATTCTATTGCAGACTTTTCGTCATGGGCAATTACCAAATTGTTAAATCCATAGGATATCCAAAAAGGATTTAAAAATTAAACTAGTATTTCAATGGTATCTTAAGAAATATAGAACCATATAAACTTATGCAATCTGAAATCAATGTGTACGCTAGACTTGACGCACTGTTTAAATGGGTGCATTTGCTAGATTTGGCGCTTTTGCGCATACATTTTCACTGCAATTTTTTTACGGTCCTCAAAACAGAACACAGTCAAATACCAAAAATCCATCGACCTGAAATCCACATTGCCTCTCAAAATATAAACATTCAATATATAGGTTCTGGAAGCCGCAACATTGAGTACGAAATATCGAAGAAAAAATACTTACCAAATAATGACAACATAATTCCCGAATAATAATAATTCCCGAGTCATAACGGAAATACCAAATTATTGACATCATGATAAAAGTTTCTCTCCCTCCAATCTGCATCGAGGTAAAAAAGCAGATGATTCATTCGACTCTTTTTTTCTAGTTCACGATTCACGTTGTTGTATTTTCTGAGCTTAGTTATTTTCACGAGATTGTTTAGTGATGTCGTTTTTTTTTTTTTATCCGGATATTTTGTGGATAAATTAAGATTATTTTAAATTTCAGTGCTTTTTTAATACAATGACAGATAAGAAAAGCACTTGTGATTTTACTGCTTGCAACGTTGAAAAACATAAACACGTTGCATTAATGGTAATGAAAAAAGTGGAAATTCTGCTAAAGATGGAGGCAGGTGCTACTGCTCGGTTTGTAGCAGAATTGTATGGAATTGCCGCACGGAGTGTGTATGATATACGGAACAATAAAGAAAAGTTGTTGAAATTTTACAGCAACAGTGATTCTAACACCGGAATCTGAAACCGGAAATCTTTACATGAGGCGAAATCGGCAAACCTTGATGGTGTCTTATACGAGTGGTTCCGGCAGTGGCGGAGTGATGGGTTACCTATTTCAGGACTACTCCTTACATGAACTTCGCTCACACAACAAGGGACTAGACGCTTGTTTGAGAGAAAAGGGAAAGCAGATTCATGCCGATTTAAAAATGGAGCAGCCTAATGTAAATATAATATAATCAGTGTATATATGTAATAATAATTTAATGCATATTATTAATTGTTGTATTAATGTATATAATAATTTAATTAAATGTATCTAATACACCTTATTTATTTTGCACTTTTAGTCTGAATATTATCTTTTCTGTCCTAAAATGCACAAAATCTAAAATCCGCACAACCTCTGGTCTCAAGCGTTGTGGATTTCTAGACTTCTACTGTAATAAGTTGTTGCAATAATGTATATATTAATTTAATTAAATTTATGTAAAATGCCTTATTTATTTTGCACTTTAGTATAATATTCAGATATTATGATTTATCTTTTCTGTCCAGAAATCCTAAAATCCGCACAACCTCTGGTCCCAAGCTTTGCGGATTTCTGGAAGTGTACTGTAGTACCTAATTTTCTTTTCTAATCAAAATAATTTTTGAATTCTTGATTTTTTTAGAGTGTCAGTTTTGAAATACACAAAAGCAAAGATTATTTTTAAGTTGTACGCCTAACTAAATTTTATCTAACATATTTTTTAAAAAAATTTTCCCCCCAGATCTGATTGTGATAATTCAGTATTATAAAGATGATCATATTATGTGGATGCTTCTGACCACAAGTCTTGTGTGCATACCTTCCTTAATCGTGCAGATTTTCAGTGTAAGATGGTACATTATTGATGGAAGAGCATCCAACAGTTTATGGATAATTCACATTTTTCAATTAGGATTATTTCACAGGTATATTTTATAACTCTTCCTTTCGTATTCCAAATAATGTTTCCTACTGATATAAATATGCATTGAGTTTAACATTTCAAAAATGTATTTTATGAAAAATGTAGGTTTGACTTGTAAGAAATTAAATTAAATTTATAATTATAATTTAAACTGTGAATAACTTAAAAATTAAATGTGGATTATTTTTTATTGATATCGTGAATAGTGGGTTCACTATTTATCCTGAATATATGTAGAGAACATTGCTATTGTGTAAGTACTTAAATTTTATGCTAGATCAATGTGACATTTGTTATTTTTCCACCTATATCATTTCATTTAAATCAAATTCTCCTTTTTTTTTTTTTTTTTTTTTTTTAATTTTGAATCCATTCAGTAGGTTAAATATAGTGTTTGAATTGTTTGGGACAATCAAATGTTTTAGCTTAGATATATTCTGTTTTCAAATATTGTGCAATATTTTGGGAAAAAAAAAAAAAAAAAAAAAAAAAAAAACTGAAATGTTTCAGATTTTAAATTACGTCCAAAGGGGCGTTTTTTAACATTTTGTGTGTTACCTTTCTTTATTAAATATCATGTTCCTCGCACTTAAACCATAAGATCCAGTGCAACAGCAATATCGCAAAATAGTTTTAAAACGAGCATATCTTTAGAATTTCCGATACAGAGACCCACGAGCTGGAGATAAAAATGTTTTTCTGCACAACGTTGCCATTGCTCGCTTTGAAATCCTTGAGCTTGTTTTAATCAAAAATTCGTCAAAGTTTTAAAAAATAGGAAATCGATCATAAAACAAATTTCAAATTTGTTCTTCCACATGCTCATATTCGTTGGAGGATTACGTTATTCAAAATTCGATGACTCTATGTACCGTTATTTTATGACAATGTGAGAAATATACATACATTTACGCAGATTTTCATTATTTAATTTCTTCAAATATAATGCAGGACTCTAACATTTTATGGCAACAGTTTGAAAAGTGAACCGACATTTATCCGTCCGACGCAAAATGCCAAAACGAAACTAATAGTCCTTTGGGATTCAAATCCTTTGGACTAAAAAAAAAAAAAAAAAAAAAAAAAAAAAAAAAAGGGTCTTTAATATTTATGAAATACTGTATGAATTGATCATTTTTGTTCTTTATTTCAAAGTTTTGTTTTAAACATTAAAAAATATTTTGCAGATATTCATGTTTCAAGTTTGTTATGTTTTCCAGTTAAGTTGTTAATTTCACAGTGACAAAACTTATTTATAATATGTAAATGTAAAGCATTATATTTGCATTCAGCTGTGTACTGCAAATTCGGAAGTTGGCAATTCCCAAATTTCATGTAATTTATTATCTTAATACTATAATTGACTCTTGATTAAATAGAGAACATGTTAACAAGTCTTTTCTAGTAGCTTGTTAATTGCAGAATAAATGAAGAATTACTATTCTAAATTATCAAATTAATCAAAATTTCTATTGAATAAAGCAAAATTTGGTACTATTCCGTGTTAAGGACCGCAAAAAACTGCAGCGAAAATGTATGCGCAAAATCTAGCAAACGCGCCCATTTAACAGCGTGCCAAATTTTACGTGCTGATTTCAGATTACGTACGTTTATATAGTTCTAGATTTCTTAAGACGCCATCGAAATACTATTTTAATTTTTAAATTCTTTTTTGATTTTAAATTCTTTTTTGATATCCTATGGATTTAACAATTTGGGAATTGTCCATGACGAAAAATCTGCAATAGAATTTTGGTTAAAGTGCAGAATCACCCACTGCTTGACGCATTTTTAAGAATTGTACATACTTGGTATCCATGAACACATCGACCTATTTTCACTTAAAAAAAAAAAAAAAAAAAAAAAAAAAAAAAAACAGAATTGCACAAAAATGACACCACACACACCCTTCACTTTATCTATGTACACATCGATGTGTTTTCACTTATAATGTTAAAGAAAATTGACAAAAATCCAATTGTTTTCACCCTTGTAAAAAGTGGCAAACAAATAAGTGGGCGATTCTGCACTTTACTGAGAATTTTTCAGAGAAAAGGCATCATTTATTATAGAAAATTATGTTTTAACAACCAACGAGATGAAACTATGCTTTAGCGATAACTCGGTAGTGAAATAGCGATGCAGGCATCCATTCAGTTATGTTTAGCAATTTTTATATAAATTATAATAATGATCTGAAATAGTTATTTACTCTTATGTTTCCATTCAGTCGTGTTTAGCCTTTTTTATATACATTATAATAATAAAAAAGTATATGAAATTAACCTTTCATCTAAATTAAAACATCAATCAGAGATAGTTATTTACTACTATACTTTCTTTCTTGCGTTAGGGTTGCCGTAATTATTTTTGGCAGCACTAGCATGAACAATAGTTTGGCGATCTTTTACTGCCCTCAAAAGCGAATACAGTCAAAAGTCGTTAATTCGGACACCCATAATTCGGAATGATCTATAATCCGGACATCAAAACTAAAAACTTTCTGCGCATGCGCCGCGTTGACACATGCGCAGAGGCGTTCACGCGTGCGCGTAAGACCTTTTACGATGCGCATATGAGTGTGTGCGCAAGTGCAGAATACCTACGTTTCGCGTGCGCATTTTATTGTATAATGGACGTATAAGCTAAATATTATCTATTTCAGTTAATGTTGATGATAGTGTTGTTCCTTAATTTTGAATTGCATCCGGCTTATTATTTTTTTGCAGACTGTAAGAGCAATTTTATAAAAGTAAGCTTAACTTAAAACTTTTGATATATCAAATAGAATTTCCGATATTATTTGTTTAATATGTAAAGGATCTAAAGCGAAAGTATGTTTTTGAAATCCGAAATCTGTTTATCAATTTCACGCTGCTCGGCGGCGGGCGCGTTAATGAATTGGAAGTTGATTTGTCAGCACTATCTTATCTTCAGCGCAGATGTTTTTTATTTTATTTGGCTTATAATTCCTTACCAAATGTAGTATTTCATCTCGATTGCTCCGTCTTTGATATGATTTAAAACAAGTTCCTCGTCATTATATTCGCTCCGATAGCGAAGAAAAGTGACAGAGGTTACTGAAAACAAAAAAATTTCGATTGACAAATAGTCGGTGTTCTTGACACAGCATTATAGGACTTGAACGGCGGAACTTTGTAACTGAACAAGAAATTATGTCTGTTAATGAATTAAAGAGAAAGTATATCACATGAACGAAGCAAAACTTAAACAATTACATGAAAGAAATGTTTAATAAAGTAAACAAATAAATATTAAGCTTTTTCTTTTTGCAAATTTGATACCCTTTAGATCATAATTGTTCTTTATTTCATAAAATTACGGTTTCAATTTTTTTAATTTTAGAATATCTGCATGCCATCTTACGAGATTTAAACTGATGATCTATAATCCGGAAAAATCGATAATCCGGAATTGCCGAAGTCCCGACGAGTCCGGATTAACGACTTTTGACTGTAGTACCCAAAATTTTTATGGGAAATACAAAAAGGGGTAAAATATATAACAACAGTGGAGATTCAATAGTCATCTATGAAGTTAGCTTGCATTCTACAGTAGGCACAAAAGAACTTTACAGATTTAGGACTGACAGTTATTGTGTGTATTTGGGAAGAATGACCTGTTTAATCTCGCAGTTGCCAAAGCGATAATAAAAAGGATAAAACCATGAAGTTTTATATTGTATTTGTTTACATAAATGATGCACGTGCATTTGCTGATATCAACTGATGCAAATACTTGCTGTGTGACTTCATAATGTATATGGTTGACTTTATGGTTTTATCACTTATAAAACTGATATAAGTAATAAAACCATCTGCGGGTCATATCTTTACTTTGCTACATGACATTCATAATGTATATGGCTTAATGATTCATGAAAAATGGCCCTTTTAAATTTAATATAATTACAAATTTAATAGATTATTTAATTCATTTATGGAATAATTTTTATGTATATATTCTTAACATGTTCACTGCCATCTACAGGAAAATTCATAGTTAACAAATTGAGATTACTTGCCAGCTATGAGATAATTCATTATTGATCTCTTTACCTAAATAAAAAAAATATGAGTATTGTCATAGCAAATACATACAATGCTTAGGTGTTTGACATGCAAGAAGGAATTAAATAATATGCTTTAGCAATTTGAAATGGATCATTTATTTCTGAAAATGTAGATACGGTAGCTAAATATTTAGAACTCAAGTCTATTTTCCTGAAAGGGCCTTGTTATTTACTTGAGAAATCTTACAATCTGCTCAAATTCTTATTGAATGATCCATATAAGACTAATGGAAAATAACCTATTTCATATGCTAAAGTTTTGCCTGAATGCACAGAATGGGTGAGTGTTTTATTATCTCGTTCCAAGTTAGCTCATAGTTGACACCGGGAGAGAAAATAGAAGTGTACTTGTGTGTATTGATTTACTGCTAAAAGTAATGTGATATCTATATTTAAATAATAAAATAACAGAAAATAATTTAAAAACATAAAAATGCAAACAGAGTACGTGTGAAGGGAAGACCATTTTAGCTTTGGCAGTGAACGTATTAATTATTTGAGTTTGTTTTCATAAATTTAAAAAAATGCTTTAGTAATGACATCTAATAAATAATTAACTAACTAAAACAGATCATAAACATATTATATTGTTGCATTTTTCTTTTCTGACATCAGTTGTTACGTAATTTTCTTCCTTCACGTTCGTATAGGGTTCGTGTGGATTTGGAGTGAATAACGATGACACTTGATGTAGTAACAAAACACACTTTATTTAGCCAATATTAATTAGACAGCTCCAAAGTCACTTTTGTACAGTTCTTGAAGATCTACTATAAACACGCTGAAACTCAGCAACACAGCTTTCACACCGGCAGGCAATAGCAGTGGAGACAGCTGCACTGCAAAGCATCAGAGTACAGCTTCTGACTGCTCGGTCATTCTCGGAACTCTACATACTCTCGAGATTCTCCACGCTACAACTCCCGATGCACTTGGCAACACACAGAGCACAGGCTCCCAACTCTTTGGTTCCTTCGTTCCCGGAGCTGAACACATTCTCTCGATGATGCACTAACCGCGATACACTAAGAGACTCTTCGATGCACTCGATGACCCATTCGGCATTCGCTGGCTGGCTGTCAACTCGATCGTCTCCGCACGGACTAACTAGATGAGACACACCTATCTCGCATTCGATGAGGCACACTCACACTAACTGACTGCGAAAGCAGGGTTTAATATAGCTTTCGACTTATGTTCGAGAACATTTTGGGCTAAACCGATAAGAATTTTTTCCAGAAGGTTCTTCATCTGTCCATGGTATATCGCCAATTTTGTCACCAAATGTGGCAACCCTGCCTTCTCTTGCCATTTTATGGCAACTCTAAAACTGCTTTGTGGGGAAGCCATCTTACCGTGCCTGTACATTTCGCAACATTATCATAAGGAAGTTTTTCATGACGAGAAGAAAAACATTGAGATATTTCCTTATCAGTATCACCACTTCAAAAAAGCTTTAATTTATTGTGCCAAATAGTTTGGCTATTTATAAATTATTGTGCTAATAGTTGCCTATTATATTATGTTGCTTACATATAGTTGTCGGTTATATGTATCTTTTTAAGTAAAATTAAGACTTTGGCTTTATATATATATATATACGAGTATAAAATAAGAAATATAAAAAGTATGAATATGTGTGCTTATTTTTATCATATTCTGTATACCTTGGCATTAAATAGTGTGTATGCTGTACTAAATACGTTACTTCATATTCAAAATGCAGTTTTCTCAACTGCCATATTAGTATTTCTGTATTTGGAGTATTTTATTATTCATCATTTATATTCATTTATTATTTAAAATATATAGCTATGCAGTCATTTAGATCACAAAAAGGGAATGGTATTTAAAAGGACCATACATTTTCCTGGATCAGTGCAATAGTGCTTAAACACGTTTTATAAATTAGAAGTTTGTAAAAATGTTTTTTTACTGTATACAAAATTTTTGTTGCGTAGTCTATCTGTGACCAGTAATGATTCATTATAATCTATTATGAAAATTTCCCAACAAACTAAATTTTAAAGGAAAATAAAAATAAATTCTAAGAAATAAGCACACAGAATTTTTTTTAATGAATAAATAATTTTTTTTTTTTGGTAAATAGGAAGTCTTTTTTTTTAGTGCATTTTATCTTTTACATACTTTCAGTGTTGCAATGATATGATATATATTTAAATTTTTTCTGGGTTCACTATTGTATATGTTGACCTATATTCAGACCATTCATTCTTGAGCTCTGATAATTATCACTGGAGGAGAATGCTGAGTCAAGCTTCATGCTGACTTTTAAAAAGTGTTTATTGATCAGTGCAATAGACAATCTATATTTTTTAACAAAAGCATAATTATACAGTTGTTTTCTATACTTAAAATCTTCAAAGTATTTTTTGACAGTTTTTCATTTTAAATGTTAACAACATTTGGTGATGATGTATGGACTGATGACAAAGCCTTATTTAATTTATTCCATGTCTTGAAGCTTATAATTAAGATAAAAAACAATTTAAGAGATTATATAATTTACAGATTATTTCTGATTAAAAATTATTTATAGATTAGTTTATAAACTTCATAAATGCTTGTCAAAAAGTATTTAATTAAAATGAATTTTTAGATTAATTTTCTAACAGAAAATGTTTCTGAGTGAGATTACAGAAAATTTAATTAAATTATTCTAGGTTTTGAAGCTCATAATTAAGATTAAATGCCATTTAGAAAAGGATATAATTTATAGATTATTTATGATTTAAAAGTATTTATAGATTAGTTTTTAAACTTTACAAATATTTATCAAAAAGTATTTAAAAGTATATTTACAGGTACCCCTTGGCGAAAATTGGCGATTTTTGGTGGTACATGTATACTGAGCACAAACTAGGCATTGTGCACTCCCTTGACTTTACCATGTACACATCGACCTATTTTCAATTAAAAAGTCAAAGGAGCACCCAATTCTAGGTAAAAGTATATTTATGGAGCATTCAACTACTCAGGTTACCATAAATGAAATAATACTTTGGCAATAAACGAAACAACTTGGCAATAAATGGAACTTCTTCGTGATAATACAAGGGGTACCCTTCAGTCTACTCTAACCAGTATTTAATTATAGTGAACTTTTTAGGTTAATTTTCTAATAGAAAATATCTCTGACAAACATTCAAGAAAAAAGATGTTTGTGTGAGATAGAAATAATAAATGGTATGGTATGATGAAATGTTAATAAATTATGTATAAAAAATAATAGTAATGCATTCATTTTAATACTTACAATATAACAATTAATTATTTTAATACCAGAGTCTTGCATTAAAGAGCTAATTTCATCATCTTTCCTGTATACATAAAATGCAGTTGATATAAAATAAATTAGATTAAAAAAAGGGATATACAGTTCTCTTAAAATTTGTCAAAAGAGTTCTCTCCTGTGCTAAAAAACAAACACATTCCAACATATTCTGCTTTAGTAAAACACTCTGCTGAGTTTAATAGCTGAAATTGGGCAGGAAACTCTGTGTGACTAAGTAATCAATTCTAGGTTTGGCTTAAAAAATGGCAACAGTTTTAGAGACCTTGTTAGTATATTTTTAAAATTTTTTGCTTAAAAATATTATGCTATTAGATTCAGGAATAAATTCATTTAAAAGGTTAAAACATTTATGCTAAAATTATAATATAGTAAATTGCAGTAATTAGTATTTTTATTTTTCCTGTATGGGAAATTAGTAAGTATGCATTTCATATACTATCACAATTTATGATGAGTGCCTCATTTCTGAGGAAACCTAAGTTTAGATGCATTGTTTTTACAATATAGTTAATAGTGCATGAAAAGTAAGACAAATTTCTTATATTTTTAGGTACATAAAATTATTACAGCTGGGATTAAAAGTAAGAAAAACAAAGAATTCAATAGATTTGCAAAATTTTAATCAACAACAAAGTGATATTTGCATGCTGCGTTTGTTTGAATCTTTTACTGAATCTGCACCTCAACTGGTTCTACAGTTATATATTATGGTGAGCACTGAAGAATGGAATCCTTGGACAGGTTTGTTTATTTATTTTCCCTTACACTCGTGAATCTTGATTTTTATCCCAAAGGGACAATTTTCCCAGAAGATCTATTAATTTCATTTGGCATTTTCCATTGGTTCACTGTAAACTGCATTTCACTTTTCAGATTGTAACCAGCAAATATTACAGCACTGCATTATATTTAAAGAAATTAAATAATGAAGAATCTACATGAATTGTATGTTTCTTGTGCTGTGAGAAAACAACGAGAGACCCAGAGACATCAAATTTTGAATAACACAGTCCTCCACTGGAATATGGGCATCTGGAAGTCCAGATTTGGAATTTAGAATTTGTTTTATTATCTATTTCATATTTCGTAAAACTTTAATAAATTTTTGATTAACAAACTCAACGATGTTCAAAGCGAGCAATGGCAACACTGTACAGGGAGAAAGAAAAAAAAAAAAAAAAAAAAAAAAAAAAAAAAAAAAAAAAACCCACCATTTTTATTTCTAGCACGTGAGATTGTTTGTATGAAATGCTAAAGATGTGCTCTTTTTAAATTATTTTGTAATATTGCTGTTTGAATTCAATTTTTTATGGTTTAAGTGCAAAGAACAGGATATTTAATAAATAAAGGTAACACACAAAACAAAACATTAAAAAAGTATTTCTTTGGGCGTAATATAAATTTGAAAAGCTTTCAGATTTTTTTAAATTTTATATTTCTTTCAGCTACTAATTGGTAAACTATAACAATATTCGTTTACCTCAAAACTGGGTTACATTTAAAACAATTGTAGCCAAATTTTGATAATGCAGGAACACCACTGAGATTGATTTTAATTTAGCATATTAAATGGAGTAACTTCTAAAGTAGACTTGAAAAAAGCATTTAAAAACAGCTGCTTGTTCAGTCTCTTGCCTTAATAAAAGCAGCATTTGTTAATGATGTTTTCTGATAAGCATTATTTATTATGAATACATTCTTTTCTTTTCCTTTATCTATCAATTTTCAATTTTCAACATCAAACTAATTTTTTAAACTGATCTGATTTGTGACATTTCAGATAAAATAGGACAACAACAACAACACAACAATAAAAAAAAAAAAATCTGTGTATTTACAATAAAGAATTTAAATCTATGCAACACTTTGAGGAAGAGAATTAGATTTCATCTTTAATCTTTTCAGATCAGTGACTGTATATTTTTAAAGCTATTTTTAAAAAAATGGGATTTCTCATGTTAATGCCTCTTTTTTCCCTTTCTGATAATCACTTTTTTTTTTGTAACAGTAGTCTTTGTTACAACTGCACTCATCTTTAAAGTAGTGTATTTACTTTGCAAAGAGAAGGGATTATGTGGTATTCATAGATTTATCTAAAGTTGGTGTAATAAACAATGAATATATAAACATATAACTTTTAATACAAAAGCTGTGATATATATAAAACTATATATTATGTCATAAAATGTTCTGAGTTGTCACTAAAACACTAGTTAGCTATATCTGTAATTTAACCTAAGAAAATTTATAAAAATATTGAGCATACTTATAAGTTTTCCAGCTTTTAAATTTGCTGTTCGATGTTCTTCACTCATTTGGCTTGGTTCTTCAAAAAGTATTAAGGTAGGATAGTAAACGGATATTAGATTTGACTGTAGATAACCATGCTGATCTTGAAAAGTGCTCAAATTATTATTATACAGTCAAAAGTCGTTAATCCGGACTCGTCGGGACTTCGGCTATTCCGGATTATCGATTTTTCCGGATTATAGATCATCAGTTTAAATCTGGTAAGATGGCATGCAGAAATTATAAAATTAAAAATATGAAACCCACAATTTATGAAATAAAGAACAATTATGATCTAAAGGGTATCAAAATTTAGAAAAAAAAAAGCTTAATATTTATTGTTTACTTTATTAAACATTTCTTTCAATGTAAGTTGTTTAAGTTGCTTCGTTTTATGTGATAATACTTTCTCTTTAATTCTATAAACAGACATAATTTCGTGTTCAGTTACAAAGTTCCGCTGTTAAAGTCCTATAATTGCTGTGTCGAGAATACCGACTAATTTGTCAATCGAAATTTTTTTGTTTTCAATAACCTCTTTGTCACTTTCTTCTTTATCAGAAGCGAATTATAATGACGAGGAATTTGATTTAAATCATATCAAAGACGGAGTACATCGAGATGAAATACTACATTTAGAAAGGAATTATAAGCCAAGTAAAATAAAAACATCTACCCTGAAGATAAGGATAGTGCTGACAGATCAACTTCCAATTCATTGTGCGCCAAGACGTCCCCCCCCTCGTGCGCAGAGCAGCGTCAAATTGATAAACAGATTTCGGAATGGTTAAAGAAACAAAGGATATGACTTTATCCATTTTTTGCAGCAATTCCACTTTTGTATTCGATGGACTTTTCGAAGCATACTTTCGCCTTTGTAGATCCTTTACATATTAGTAAATATATATCGGAAATTCTATTTGACATAATCGAAAGTTCAAGCTTATTTTTATAAAATTGCTCTAACAGTCTGCAAAAAATAATAAGCTGGATCCAATTTGAAGATTAAGGGACAACGCAATCTGCAACATTAACTGAATTAGATAATTTTAGCTTAGCTTATACCGTCCGTTATACATTAAACGTGCATGCGTAAATGTATTTTGCGCATGCGCACACGCATATTTGTAGCCGTAAAAGTCTTACGCGCATGCGCAGAAAGTTTGTAGCTTTGAGGTCCCGATTATAGATCATTCCGGATTATGGGTGTCTGAATTAACGACTTTTGACTGTATTTCCAGTCTAGCCTTAAATTTCTTTTTACTGTTGTTAAACAGTTCAATATTGTTGAATGCACATTAATTTCATTCAGTTTATGAAGAATTCATACATTTTACTAAGCTATTTCCTGAAAATGAAATGAACTGCATGAAACCTAATTTTCTGTTCTTAATCAGTCAGGGCTGTGGAGTCAGAGTCGGAATGGGAGTTAGACAGATTTTGGGGTAAAAGGGGTCAGAGCTGGAGTCGCTAAAAGCATGTTGACTCCAATTTTCGTTGGACAGTTTGAATTTGAAATGAAATTAAAGTGAATTAAAAAAATTTAATGACAAACTGAGTTACTATTTTTATTTATGGACTATATACATTAATAAATCACTGCCTAATTTAAATGTGGCCTCTCATGGTAAAAAAGTTCCCCACCTCTGATCTAGAACATCAATCCCCCTGAAGTGGACTTATCTCTAAACTGTATAATGCAAATGAGGGAATAATCTTAGTGAAAATTTAGTTAAAGGTAGTACCTACAAAAATCCTAATTTAAGTGGAAGAAGAATTTTCAGAAGAATTATCTCACGAAAGAAGGGACAAATCTAATGTGAGTACTGTTGTGAATCTGAAAATTTGAACTGTCTTGGTGCCAGACAAAACTAACAAAAATTTAAGAATAATAATACTCCAAAATTGAACTGAAAACTTTATCTTAAGTTGTGGAAGAGGAACTGTTTGAATGATCTGTCTCAAATGTCATGTAGAAAACATTTCTTAAAATCAATTAACTTAATTAAAGCAAAATCTCGCACCAAATTAATCTTAACCTGAAAAATGAGATAAAAGGAATAAATCTTTGCTGGTGCTTGAGTAAAACAGAATATTATCCCTCAAACACAAAAATCTCTTAAATAACACTTAAACTACATTTCAAATCATTTCAATAATTAACTCAGGAGCAACAAGTTCATTTTCATTAACTCTTTCTGGCATGCTACCTTTTTTATAGTTCGAATTTTGACAAAAAAAAAAAAAAAAAAAAAAAAAAGTAGGCAGTTTAATCAGGCTAGAAGAGTACACAGGTAAAATTTTGTGAAGATAGCGCTTATCGTTTTAATGCTGTGGGTGTGCCCGAAGCGGGCACACTGAATGAATAGAGCTTCGAAAATGCTGAAACGAGCATTGCTGGGAAGTGCGTAAAAAAGTAAGAGATTTTGCCTACAGTTAAAAAACACTAGATTCTGAATACCGTAGCAGATTTAGCATTACCCAGGGTGGGCCATAGGGAGGCCTGCTACTCTACAACCCCCTAAAAAAGCTCTTCTTGGTTATATGATGATTACATGCATATGAATGAAAAAAAGTAACTTGGGCATATGATATTTACATTATTTACATTTCATATTTACACTTTCGTCTATTTTTTTCATGGTGGTACTTTTAAAAGAAAGTGACACCACCTTTAAAAAATTACAACCCAATATTGCATGTTTTGCACACTTACTGGGATCCGTATCAGACTCGCTATCTGAAAGCAATTTGTGTAGCACTTTCAGTGCTTCAGAAATGGCCAGCCCTCTCCGATCCATTTGGAAATAATTAAAAAAAAATCCGAAAAAAAAAAAACTAATATCTACAAATTGAAATTATAATGTATAAAATAAAATTAAATAAACGTTTACAACTCAAAAGTATTAAACTTAAATTTTGTAGTGCTAACAAAACTTCCTTGAACAAAAGCAAAAGAGAACTAACTGCTCTAGTGAAAAACCGAAAAGCTAACTGATAAAAGATAAAATTACCTCTGACCTTCAGAAAAAAATCATCCCAACAATTTCTTGGTTGATAGTCAAACCTCCCCTAAAAAAAAAAAAAAAAAAACAAGAAATGAAACACAGATGTGACCCACCTTTCTATTATGAATGACCTGGCCGATGAGCTGCAGAAAAAAAACAAAGATACAGTTTGTTATGAAGTATTGCTATAGGTGGCGCTGATGTACCAAAAGTTGGCAAAGATCTTGTAACTCATCGTGAGCAGACACATATCTTGAAGCATCGAAAGGACTAAAATCCTGTAGCCCCACTATCTGAATATGTATATAATATTGTATATAGTGTACACTGCATTATATTACAGCACTGCATTATATTTAAAGAAATTAAATAATGAAGAATCTACATGAATTGTATGTTTCTTGTGCTGTGAGAAAACAACGAGAGACCCAGAGACATCAAATT